TAGCGATGGCCTCCAGCCTAATGGCAATGCCCCTAGCCTAATAGCAATGGCCTCCAACCTAATAGCAACGGCCTCGAACCTACTAGCAATGGCCTCCAACCTACTAGCAATGGCCTCCAACCTGCTAGCAATGGCCTCCAACCTACTAGCAATGGCCTCCAGTAGCAATGGCCTCCAACCTCCTAGCCATGGCCTCCAACCTATTAGCAATGGCCTCCAACCTACCAGCAATGGCGTTTTCCTCCAACGGCACTGGCCTCCAACCTAATAGCAATGCCCTCCAGTAGCAATGGCCTCCAACCTACTAGCAATGGCCTCCAACCTACTAGCAATGGCCCCCACTCTACTACCAATGGCCAACCTGATAGCAATGGCCTCCAACCTACTAGCAATGGCGTTTTCCTCCAACAGCAATGGCCTCCAACCTAATGGCAATGGCCTCCAACCTAATAGCAACGGCCTCCAACCTAATAGCAACGGCCTCCAACCTAATAGCGATGGCCTCCAGCCTAATGGCAATGCCCCTAGCCTAATAGCAATGGCCTCCAACCTAATAGCAACGGCCTCCAACCTAATAGCAATGGCCTCCAGCCTACTGGCAATGCCCTACCCTCATAGCAATGGCCTCCAACCTAATAGCAATGGCCTCCAACCTAATAGCAATGCCCTCCAACCTGAAAGCAATGGCCTCCAATCCAATGGCAATGGCCTCCAACCTACTAGCAATGGCCTCCAACCTACTAGCAAAGGCCTCCAACCTACTAGCAATGGCCCAACCCAATAGCCATGGCCTCCAACCTACTAGAAACGGAGTCCAACCTAATAGTAACGGAGTCCAACCTAATAGTAACGGAGTCCAACCTAATAGCAATAGCCTCCAACCAATAGCAATTGCCCCTAGCCTAATAGCAACCGCCTCCAACCTATTAGCAATGGCCTCCAACCTACTAGCACTGGCCTGCACCTACTAGCAAAGGCCTCGAACCTAATAGCAATGGCCTTCAACCTAGTAGCGATGCGCTACTTTCTTGCTTGCTTTCCAATTTCCTTGTGCCTTCAAGTCTTAAAACCTTTAAACTACCGTTTCCTTGTTCCTTTTTTCTTCTGTTTCTTCCTAAGATCTTTCTTCCTCGGTTGAAACTGGAAAACCAAGTTGCGAAAACTCCGCGCATATGTTGTTTGTGGGCAAGACGCTTTCTCTCCTGCGCCGGATTGATGCGATGCGGTCTGCTCTGAGCGCTTCACTGTGAGCACCGCCACACACAAATAAGAACGAAAATGAACAATTGGCTGCAAAAGGCTGCCTTCCAGCTTGTGGCTGGAAACTGTGACCGGGTGTCACACACATGCCCATGACGTCCAAGGATTAATTATTCAACTATTCACTTGATGGCACTTGTTGATCATTCAGTTCAGGCTTATCATTCACGGCACATCACCCTAGAAACCTTCTGGCATCGACTGATCCACCTGCTTTTATCTGATTAGTCTAATGTATCTCCTGATGCCTTACACTCACGTGATGTGATGTTCACGCAATGTCCTGTTCAGCCAGCAATCGCTCTTTGGCTTCTGCCTGCACCGCTCGCTTGGCTGCCTGCAGCACTGCACGAACCTGCAGGCCGAATCCTCTCGGAGGGTTACCAGCAGGCCTTCTTTTCTTAGTCCGCTCCTTCATTACTTAACTAAATAAGATTGTAAACTACTAGCTACTTAAGCTACTATGCATGGACGTA